CCCAAAATCTTGGGGCACCAGGTTTGAATTTATATGCGAAAATAAACTAATCCTTGTTTTAGCACTCCAGACGGATTAAGCAGGTAGTTCTTAAAACCTCTTAATCGTACTGTGAAGTTTGGGCCTGAAGAACACATAAAACACTACTAATGCACTTGTAGTGGCTCTAATCGAGTGTTCTTATGCTCTGGATATTATTTATAGCTTATATTTAGTGTGCATAGTGAGTCTTAGAGTGATACATGTCATATATATGGATGTTATGTAAGAATGACGCACAAATAAGGTGTCAAACAAGAAAATAAAGAGAACAAATAATCCGAAACATACAAGATACTATTAGTGTAAGCATATAAAGTGAATGACATTCCTATAATGCTTGTCAGCAGTAGATCCGGGTGTGCATATTTATAACATAGACCTAAGATTCTTCTGCTTCAGTTTGGTTTTACAGTAAGTGAGCTTGGATTTTAGGCGTGCATCCTCTGGGACGTCTTCGAGCAGGCTTCCATCCTTTTTGGCGTACTATTCTTTCATCAAAGGTATAGCCTCCTGCCACCTGATATCCGTGTTGTCTTCCAATATATTTTCCATATCAGTTTGATACAGTTTAGGAAAAGCTATAGTCTTCTTGCGCGCCTTCTTGCCTGCAGCGGAAACGTACTCCTCACCTCTCGCAGCAGCGGCTGCCATCGTTAGAGCCTCCTTTTCTGCTTGCGCTATCTCTGTCTTCCGCTTCGCATCCGCTGCTTTCTTCGCGCTTGTTAACGTAGATATCAGCGTCCGTATATTCATTTCGTTAGGTAGAGAGTATTGGCCAGGATACATTAATTTTAGTTGTGAAAGCATTGAACCAGGCTGCATCTTAAGCGATGAATCGGCCTCACCTTTGTGAAATATCTCCTTGATGTCATCTACGTACTTCTTCATGTACGATTGGTCATGTTGTTCGCCATGAGGTCGTCGTCTCGCCCATCCTTGGGCTTGCTTCATAGGGTGGAAGTCTTCCGCCAATTCGATCTCCGAAAATGGTTCACTCCCATTGCGCACAGCTACCGCATGCGATGAGATAGGGGCATTTACAGATTCACTCCTTTGTACGCCCCTTCTGTTTGTTTGTCACGTGGATAATCACGTGGCCCTAGAACGATCCCTAACTTTGATTGTTTCATCACATACACATAGGATAATCGCTTACTACTCTTATCCGGATCTCCAGGACCATAGCCAGCGAGCTCTTGGGCGGCAATATTATCTTTCTCGTGCTCAAGCTGCCTCAGGATCAAGTATGACATCAGCAGCAATCTTATCTTGAAGATCCAGCTTTAAGTTCAGGTCGTCGGGCTCTACTTGATTTCCCTTAGTCTCCATCCCATAATCGACCTCTCTAGACATTACCATCTCACCGTCACTATCATCTTCTTCTTCCTGCGATGATTCTTTCGAGAGGTCAAATGTATCTGTAGCTACGGCGGACGGTGCCCTCTTCGCGTTGAAATTACACTGTTTCCTGGGCTTAGCTGCGGTATCCTGTCATTATTAGCGCCCATTTTATCAATAATACTATTAGCCAAACCCAGGTCAACACCTTCACCAACACCAGCGTCGATTTCATCAACTATTGTGAATGATTCGGCGCTAAACCCAGCTCGGAAGAGTACACCAGTACCAACGCCAGAATAAGCATACGCACGCAAATGAATGACCGTATTGCTATTCAGAATCTTTCCAGATCGAGGAAATCATATACTACTAGCGGACACGTAACTCTCTTGAATATAACATCATTGGCCCGGGTGAAGAACTTGGCTGCTGTATCAACTATCTTTTTAGTCTGCTCTATGAATGTTTGCAGTCGTCCTTTCCGATCTATAGCTATCAACTGAACAAACGCATTCGGTATACCCCCTTCCCACACCAATGCAGCAGCCAAGCCTTTTAGAGTAGCTATCTTTTTTATCCTATTACGTTTCGATGATTTCATAAATTTATTTACGTGTCCACCGCCACGTGCAAAGTGTGCGTCTATCAGCCCTTTTCCGTCTTGCGTCTCTGTATGAATAAACCTGACAATCTGGATTGAACAGGTGAGATTCAATAACGCCAGATACAATAGTAGTTCTTTGGATTTGTAACAACCAGCGTTGTCAAAGGCTAGTATTGTAGTCGTCATCCGTGGCAAACGCTCTTTGATTGCATAGAGATATGCTTCAATCATAGAATAAACACAAGAAAAATCTTGCTTATTTTCGCCATCCAATATCTGATCGCCATACACAATATGCCTTACTGCATCACACTTAGTTACCAACACGCCATCATCGTCTTCCTCTTGCCATTCTGTATATTCGAAATACATCGACATACACCCGTGCCAACCCATGCCGCGTTGCCCATAATGTTCATGAGTGGTTTCTCTTGAGGATATCGGATCGAACTTCATTTTTCAGTCGATGAGTGTAAATAATTCTTTTCTGTCCTTTGTTTGCGATACATCGATCAGACTTGCCTTTGAGTATCTTTTCAATATGT